GCTCCCGGCCAGGCCCTCGGAAGCTGGCGATGGCCCTGATGGCCTCTGGAACAGGCGACCCCCCGGGTGGGCCACGTCCCCTCTCCCGGCCTCAGTTCCCGGGACCGCAACACCCCTGCGAGGAGAGGGCTTAAGAGCCAAAGTCCCGCGTGAACGCCAGGCCCAGCGCCCCTGCCCCCACCCGCGCGCGATCTGGGGTGGTACCGCGCCAGCGGGGTGGCAAGGGTCACCAAGATGGACTCCCTAGCAGCACCCCAGGACCGCCTGGTGGAGCAGCTGCTGTCGCCACGGACTCAGGCCCAGAGGCGGCTCAAGGTGTGTGTGTGTGTGTCTGTGTGTCTGTATCTGTGTGTCTGTGTGTCTATCTGTGTCTGTGAGTGTGAAGAAGGGATGGAATGTGGGTCAGTGTGTGCTGCTTGTCGGGCCAGCTCTGTCTCTGTGGACTCAGACCCAGAGGCAGATCAAGGTGTGTGTGTGTGTTGTTTGTGTGTTGTGTGTGTTTGTGTGTGTGTATGCGCGTGTGTATAAAGGGGATGGAATGTGGGTCAGTGTGTGCTGCTTGTCGGGCCAGCTCTGTCTCTGTGGACTCAGACCCAGAGGCAGATCAAGGTGTGTGTGTGTGTTGTTTGTGTGTTGTGTGTGTTTGTGTGTGTGTATGCGCGTGTGTATAAAGGGGATGGAATGTGGGTCAGTGTGTGCTGCTTGCCTGGCCATCGCCTGACACTACTGGACATGTGAAGGCCCACAGGGCCAGGGGTCCGCTCCGAATGGGCGTTGAGACCCTGTGGTGGAGGAGGCTGGGCGCCTCTGTCTATAAATAGCCTCAGCTGCTGCCTCCCACCCCCAGGCTGGATGGAGGCCAGATGAGCCTCCCACCCTGGGTGTGCTGGAGAGGGGTGAGGGGTGTTGAGGCCTGGACTTCTGCCTGTGGAGGGCTTGGAATGTGTCTATGGGGTCTCCCCACTGTACCTCTCACCCATGGAAGGAGACATTGTCTATTGGTGCCTTATATCCAGAAGCCCCCTACTCCCTAATGTCTTTGGGGGTGGGGAACAGGGGCCAGGCCTGGGCATTAAACTCAGGACCTATGCACTATTCCTGAGCTGCTTTTGCTCAAGGCCTTGTGCACACTTGAGCCACAGACCACTTCCAGCTTTTTCTGTGATTAATTGGAGATGAGTCTCATGGACTTTTCTGCCCAGGCTGGCTTCAAGCCATGATCTTCAGATCTCAGCCTCCCTAATGTCTCTGCAGAGCCCCTTGCTAAGGCTGGTTACCTTTCCTGCCACCGCCACCCTCCTCTAAGCCTTGGTTCACAAGCCCTCGCCCCATTTTTACCAGGAAACTGTGCCATCTGCTCTCTCCTCTTCCTGAACTGGGTAGGGGCTGAGGCAGTGACCCACTTCCTTCTGTCCCCAGGATATTGACAAGCAGTACGTCGGCTTCGCCACACTGCCCAACCAAGTACACCGCAAGTCAGTGAAGAAAGGCTTCGACTTCACGCTCATGGTGGCTGGTAAGTGGACCAGGCTGTGGGAAGGAGTGGCTGGAACAATTGCCAGCCAGGCTCAGTCCATAGGGTCCCCAGACCTAATTCAGCTTCTTCATTGTACCTTTGCCCAGGTGAGTCTGGCCTAGGAAAGTCCACTCTGGTCCACAGTCTTTTCCTGACGGACCTCTATAAAGACCGGAAGTTGCTCAGTGCTGAGGGTGAGTGGTCTTACACAGTCCTAACAACAATGTCCTATGGGGCCTCAAGGGCATCCTCTTTGAGGAATGAGCTCCTGTTTAGGGTCCAAGAAGAGTGGCCCAGACAACAGGTTATGTGGCTGAGAGCAAGGTGGCGGGCAGATGGATGGGATGGATCGATGGATGGAGACAAGATAGAGAAGTTAGGCCCTAGGTTAGTGATGAAGATTGGAGATGCCCCTTCAAGCAATGCCTGTAGTCCTAGCTATTTAGGAGGCTGAGATCTGAAGATAGAGGTTTGAAGCCAGCCAGGGCAGGAAAGTCTGTGAGACTCTTACCTCCAATAAACTTCTGAGAAAGCCAGAAGTGGCACTGTGGCTCAAGTGGCATAGTACTAGCCTTGAGCAAAAGGAGCTCAAGGAAAAAAACAAAAAACAGTGCCTCCCCCTCCACCCGGCCTCCATTACAGAACGAATCAACCAGACAGTAGAGATTCTGAAGCACACAGTGGACATCGAGGAGAAGGGGGTTAAGTTGAAGCTCACCATCGTAGACACACCTGGTTTCGGGGATGCTGTCAACAATTCCGAGTGGTAAGGAAGTTCCGGCTGGGGAGCAGTCCTCTGTCCCCAACCAATCCCAGCCTCCACCTGTCCAGTAGACAACTCTTGCAGTGGCCTCATACTCCCTCTACCCCTAGCTGGAAGCCCATCACTGACTACGTGGACCAGCAGTTTGAGCAGTACTTCCGGGATGAGAGCGGCCTCAACCGCAAGAACATCCAAGACAACCGTGTGCACTGCTGCCTGTACTTCATCTCCCCCTTCGGGCATGGGTGCGTGGATTTCCTGCAGGCAGTATACCCCATAGCTACGCAGGTCCCTGCCTCCCTGCCTCCCTGACCAGGCCCATCCTCACCTTTTGCTGCTCTCTGCAGGCTGCGGCCAGTGGACGTGGGTTTCATGAAGGCTCTGCATGAGAAGGTGAACATTGTGCCCCTCATTGCCAAAGCTGACTGTCTGGTCCCCAGTGAGATCCGGAAGCTGAAGGAGCGGGTGAGACATGGAGGGACCTTGCCAAAGACTTTGAGTCCTAGAGCTCCAGGGGCCTGGGCCAGCCTCAAATCTGAATCTTTGCCCCACCTCTGCAGATCCGGGAGGAGATTGACAAGTTCGGCATCCATGTGTACCAGTTTCCGGAGTGTGACTCCGATGAGGATGAGGACTTTAAGCAACAGGACCGGGAGCTGAAGGTGAGCATGCAGCCCTGTGGGGTGAGGGCATGAGGGGGCCAGAGCAGAAAAACTGGAGCCACACAGTCCCAGTGGCGGGCTGAGCACCCAGGTCTAGCCTGATGAGGGCAGTGATGGGGCTTGAGAATAGAGATCCAGACACCCTTTACCGAGGCTAGACAGTCATATCACTTCCTGGACTATAATGGTTCCTCTTTTTTGGGGGGGAGGGGTCATGAAGCACCTGTCCAGGTCAACCTGACCTGCTTTACAGGGGTCACCAGCTTAAGGCTCAGTCCATTGGCCAACGGCTATAAAGTGCCCCCTGCTTCCTAGATTCTGAGCTGCAGAAAGTGGTGATTTGGGGTGCCCCAGCAACTAGAGTGATGATATCCAAGACCCAAGCCAGGCCCAGGGGACTGCTAGATCAGGAGCAGTGTGTCATAGGAAACATCCACCAGGGGGTGTGGGCTGGGCTGAGGCATGGAAGTTGAAGCTGCAGGGGTGGTTCTAAATGGGAGGAGATCTGGGGAAGCCTGCCTGGTTGGTCATAGCCCGGCAGGAGGAGCCTGTGGGGCGTGAGCTGCAGAGGAGGCACAGTAGCTTCAATGGGCAGCAGAGTGTTCAAAAGAGGGGTGATGCCATCCCCCTCTTCAGTGGTGGTGATGTTGGAAAAGTGGCCACGCCCCCTGAACCTCCAAGCCTGTACTTTCAGCTGCTAGGCTGAGCCTTTGGTCCCTCCCCACAGGAGAGCGCACCCTTTGCTGTAATTGGCAGCAACACCGTGGTAGAAGCCAAGGGACAGCGTGTCCGGGGGCGACTGTACCCCTGGGGGATTGTGGAGGGTGAGTTGAAGCTCGGGGCATCAGTACTGGGTGGGAAGCTCCCCTGGGCTGGTGCCCACGCACAGCTCACTCCTGCCCCACAGTGGAGAATCAGGCACACTGCGATTTCGTAAAGTTGCGTAACATGCTCATCCGCACTCACATGCACGACCTCAAGGACGTGACTTGCGACGTGCACTATGAGAACTACCGCGCGCATTGCATCCAGCAGATGACCAGGTAGGCTGCCCCTCCCCCAACACATGGGAACCCAGCCTCACCCCTGCTGGCTCCAGCCACACCAGAGCAAGCCCTCCTACCTCATCTACCTAGAACTGAGCTTTCTTGAAATGGTCGTCTCATACCCTTACCTCCTGCAGCAAACTGACCCAGGACAGCCGCATGGAGAGTCCCATCCCCATCTTACCACTGCCTACCCCTGATGCAGAGACAGAGAAGCTCATCAGGATGAAGGATGAGGAGGTTTGTAGGAGGTTGGAGAGGAGATGACTGTGGGGAGGGGGGGTCTGTCTAAAGCAATTTCTCACCTCACTGTCTGTTGTTCGTGTCCACCAGCTGAGGCGCATGCAGGAGATGCTGCAGAAGATGAAGCAGCAAATGCAGGACCAGTGACACACTGCCCCAGCCCCTTTGCCACGGATAGACCATCCATTTCTGGACTGGCCCCTCCTACCCTTGGGCCCCAGACTGGCCTGGACTCTACCCTGGATTCACCTGGTTCTTGGATGGACCTGGACCTGACCTATACCCAGCGTGGCCCTGACTGTTCCTGACCCGGAAGCCACAGAGCCACCACTACCCTAGATGACCCTAATTTATTCTCAGCACCAACCCCTTCCAGGTCATTTGTATCTGTCTCCCAGGGGTCTGGACAATGGCTCCTCCCCAGGTGGCTTTCTCTGGCCTTAGGGGAGCAAAGTCTAAAAGCTAAATCAGGCACAATTTCCGAGTCCCTCCATCCCCTTGAAGCTCACAGATTCTAGGCACTGCACAAGTAGGCAGGTAAACCAAGGCAGAGGAGGGAAGGGAGCCCCAGTGCCGCAGAGCGGACTTGGGAGCTCTCCTCTGCTGGTTTCTGTGGGCCACCAGCATATGCTAACACCCTACTTTTGATCAAGACGGCCCTGTCCTCCTTTATCCCCTCGCCCAGGCTGGGGATCAGAGCAGGCAAAATTGGGCGGCTGCAGCAATTGGGAGGCTTCGGGATCAGAAGGCTTCTGGTGAGAAGGGCAGCCTGGGCCGACCCAGAGTGCTCTGGGTCTGTGGGCCATACTTGGCAGCCCCCACCAGCCCTTTCCGTCTGCCGGTCCCGTCGCTGGAGACCCCCTCTCCCCAGCCACACCATTGCGCTGGGATCCCTAGCCCTTGGCCATTCCACCCGCATGATCCCTCCCCCCCACACCCCTGCTCCGTTTTGTTCCGTTGTGAATGCCGCGTCCTGTCCTGGTGACAGGGGAACAATGTTGGTGAACGTCCAGCAGCGAGTGTCCGAGTGTTCCGTGCGCCCCTGGGACCAGGGAGGGAGCGGAAGGTGGGGCGGGCGGCGGGCGCTGGTGATAGGCGCTATCGGAGCCAGCAGCGCAGCTCCGTGCCCCCTTGGGGTTATTTCTGGCCGGAGGCTGCGTTGTGGTCTGCGGCAGGCGGGCAGCGGGTCGCGGTGGCCGGCTCTCTGGCGCTCTAGACCAAGCCAGGCCACCGTCCTTTGATCATGGGCTCCTGTGAGTCTGGGGGTCCTGTCGGCCGCTTCTCGGGCGGATCTTGGTGGGGAGGGGGGGCGTTTTGGTTTGCACAGTAATTAGGAAGATTGGGTCTGACTTAAAGGGGGAATTGCAGCCGGCGAGCCGGGTGGCGGGGTGGAGAGGCCTGCACGCTGAGTCGGCCACGGGCCTTACAAGCTCCCGAGGCTGGGGGACCCCTCCCCAGGCGCCCCGCCAATCGCCCTGCTTATAGCAGCGCTTCTCTTCCAGGGCCGTGCGGGGCGCTGAGCCTGCTGCTCCTGCTGCTGGCGCCGCCCGGCCGTCCCGCCGCGGGCTGCCCCGCGCCATGCAGCTGCGCGGGGACCCTCGTGGACTGCGGGCGCCGCGGGCTGACACGGGCCTCGATGCCCGTCGTCTTCCCGCCAGACACCACCGAACTGGTGCTGACCGGCAACAACCTGACGGCGCTGCCGCCGGGGTTGCTAGATGCACTACCCGCTCTGCGCAAGGCGCACCTGGGCGCCAACCCCTGGCGCTGCGATTGCCGCCTGTTGCCGCTGCGCGCCTGGCTGGCGGGGCGCCCCGAGCGCGCGCCCTACCGCGACCTGCGCTGTGCGGCACCCTCAAGTCTCAGAGGCCGAGTGCTGCCCTACTTGACCGAGGAGGAGCTGCGTGGCGCCTGCGGGCCTGGCCCGATATGCTGGGGGGCGCTGGCGGTGCAGCTGGTGCTGCTGGGCCTCGGGCTGTTGCACGCGTTGCTGCTGGCGCTGCTGCTGTGTCGCCTGCGGAGGCTGCGCCGGCATGCCCACGCCCGCGCCTGGGAGACGTCCCGGTTATTGCTGACCACCCCGCTGGCGGCCGAGCCCGCTGGAACTGGCACGTCCGATGAGAACACAGACGGGCACTGAGCCATCGAGGCCTGCAAATTCGACAGGATCCTACCCTAGGATCCTCGCCCAAACCTGGATCCACTTTTCCCTCTGCCCTTGCCCATTCCCCTAGACCCTCCAGGCCCCGCAGGCTCAGATCTGCTCCACGCGACTGGAGCCCAGCCTGTGCCCTCCACCCTTAGGGAAGTGGAGGAGCCGAAGGGCGGCTGCCCTCTGCTGAGTTCCCCAGACCCAAACTCCAGGCTGAATAAACCATTCTCCTCCTCTGCTGGCCAATCTCTCTCTGCACTGTGTGACCCAGAATTCCCTTCCACCGCGCCCCAGAATAGCCTCGGGAGGCAGTTAATACTGCCCGATTAGCCTGGGGCAAACAGAAATCAGGAAGTGCCCCTCCCCCCACACTGCCACCAAGGTCACTGTGGGTAATGAGAACACTCCATGGAGTACACAGACTGGGGTTACTTGGAAAGTGGTTCTAGGGAGACAGTGAGGAGCCAAAGGACATTCTGAAGGATAGCTTTGGGGGGGTGTCCTGTGGCCCTGCTACAAGGCCAGCTGTTAGAGAAGTCACAGGTAGACTGAAGTTAGAACCACTATCTATAGTGGGGACTGTTGGGTGGGGGTCTGCGATCCTCCTGAGATTCCCTGAGCCATTGGAGCCCAGTGCCCTCCAGAGGGTATGCAGGGCCAGGAGACAGGATCATGGGCAGGGGGGTAGGGTAGACCAGGCCCACGGAAGGACCCTGCAGTGTGAGTGGATACCAAGCTTCCTGCCACACCCAGGCACAAGTGCCTCCACATCTTCCTATCCCACAGCCCATACCACCCACTAGCCTTGCCCCTGACTCCGTCTACTGGAACTAAAAGCCCATGTCTCTAAGCTCTGTCTGTGCCCACCACCGCATGGCTTCTGCCTTCTAGCCTCCCAGGATGCTCCACGCCATCCCAACCCTGCCTCTTGCTAGATCTTTGCAAGTGTTATTCCTCCTGCCTGCCACCTGGTGCCCTTCATCCCTGGGCTCCCTGCCTCCCCTCTTTCTCCAGCAAGCCCCCCACCTCACTGCCATCCCCTTGGCAAGAGGCCTTCATGACCTGGTCTCTCACTGCCCAGCTCCCACTCCTGCAGCTGAGTAATTGGATCCTTTGATTCCTTCCCAGGACCCCAGCATGAAAAAGACATAGGATGCCCAAATAGGGGTGGCACCTCCCTCACGATTGGAACCAGCCTGGAGAAGCCGACACAGCCCTTCTCTTGATCTTAGTATTGTGTCCATGCAGCTGACCTCAATTACAATAAAAGCTGTTGTTCTCTGAGGACTCCAAACAGGACCCAATGAAGAGCCTCAGGTCTGGGCACAGGAAGGCTCCAGTCTCCCTTCCCCCCCCCTCCCCTATCCCCGCTGCCACTGACCAGGTCGGCTGACACAGCTTTTGTCCTGGTCTTTGTGGGACAAGACAAATGACCCTCCGGTAGGGCTGATGCTATCTTGAGGCTGCCGGCCAAACGCAAGGCAGCAGCCTCCCCCTCACCTTTGTGGGCAGGTGCCGGGCATCCGGCCTATTGTGGGCTGCAGACGACTGTCCAGTTGTCCATCCAAACCTTATCACCACATCGTGGATGGTGGCCCTCTTTGGACAAATGAACTGCTCACTTTTCCCTCCCCTCCCCCTTGGTGGCCTGTCATCCCTGAGCACTCCTAAAGGAGGTCAGAGGTAAGAGTCAAGGTACATAGGCCAGTCCTTAAACTCAGTGGGTGCAGGCGGTGGGGGGGGGGTTCTTCAGAGATGGGGTTCCTACTGGACTTCAGAGCCTCCCTGAGGTTGCAGGAAACTGAATCAGGACACTGAGGTCCCACACTTTTAGGTGGCCAGGAAGCTCAACTATGAAACTCCCCCTGAACTGTAAACCAAGCCCCAACACAAGCTTAGGCCACCCACTGTGCCCTGCTCACAAGGCCTGCAGATTCTAGGGCCAATGTCTTGCTAAAATTGAGGAGCTGCCCAGCAGGTGCTCTTCTGATGGTAGAACAAGGCTGAAATTACAGTGTGGTTAGATATAAGAATGAACTTCCTGCTTGCTGATCAGTAGGGCAGCTGAATACCCATGGTCCTCCAAGAACCCTCATCTTGCCTGTACTCTGTGGTCTAGACTGGCTAGTGCCAGGCCAAAGTACTGGCCTGGCCTCCATGGCTAACTTACTTCAGTGGCCTGGGAGCCCCCAGTCCTAACTCCTGACCCTGAGCTGACCCTCCACGTGTTGAGCCTGGGGCCTTAGCCTCCAATGAGTATGGGGAAATGAATGGTCCCAGCTCAATGCTCCTGAATGGCCTCTCAAAGGGGAGCAGGATGCACATCCCCCACCTAGTGCCCTGTCCCCACATTGTCCTTCCCCTTCCTCAGTCAGCACACCTGCCCCAGGGCCTCTTCCCCACTCACAGCTGGTCCTCTCTGTGACCCCAGACTCCTTTCAAACCAGTAGGTCAGGGGACCCCACATAAGACCCTAGACCCTTCCAGACCTCAAGCTGGCTGATTCAAGACCCTCTGCCCTACATCCCAAGCAATCAGCATTGATTATATCACACTACCCATCCAGGCTACCAAGACCTCATCCTGAGATGAGGTCCAGCCCTTAAGGTACCCTGTCCACCTGTCCACCCTCTGAACTCCGCACATATTTGCCCACCATAGTCAAATGGATTCCCAAGGAGTTGGAAGAGGGAGTCCCAACAAGGCCAGGCTCTATGCCCACAGAGCCTCCATTTCCTCACTTGTGCAAGGAGTGGGTGCAGTCTGGACTGTGTGACCTGCTCTACCTCTCTCTGGGTCCCCTGGAGACACAGTGACTCCTGAGGGGGCACCAGAGGGCGCTCATGGCCCACAGAAAATGCCCACGAAGGCGTTTTCTGTGCAGGCAAGTCAGTGCAGGGTGGGGGGAGGCGGGAGATGGGAAGGGATGGGAAGGGGAAACAAAGGAGGAGGTAACAATGCTTGATAAGAAATGTACTCATTACCTTGCTCATGTAATTGTAACCCCTCTGTACAGTTTTTCACAAATATATATGTGTGTGTGTGTGTGTGTGTGTATGTGTGTGTATATGTATATATATATATATATATATATATATATATAATTTTTTTAAAAAGTTGGTGTTAGGGGCCAAGAAGAGTCCTGGCTATTGATGGAGAAACAGAGGCTGGGAGAGTGGGGTGTATGTCCAGACGGCAGGGTGGGGACTGCATCTAGAGGGGCTGTCAGATTGCCACCTTGTGAGGGAGGTGAAGGGGAGCACTCCATCTCTGGAGAACACCCCATCTCTGGGGAACACCCTCTGAAGGCATGGTCTGTCCATGGTCCCACAGGACCTGCTGCTGACAGATGGGGAGATGGTGAGCCCCATTGCCTTCCATCCCCAGCCCACTGACAGCCCATCAACTGCAAAGATAAGGGAGCTCTTCCGCCCGTGTGAGAGGAGGGGGTCAGCCCAGGTGCGCCCTCCCACCCTCTTGCTGGTATTTGCTCCATAAACACTTATTGAGCCCCTGCAGTGTGCACTGCAGTGGGGGCGGGGCAGAGGACAGACTAGAAGGGCTGGACTAGTTTCTGCCCCGATGCTAAGTGGGGGTGGGGGGTCGGGAAGAGTGGCGTCAAAAAATGTGAGGAGAGAGGTTCTTCCACCTTCTGACCACACGGGGGACCTGACCTGGTTTGCAGTTGGGGGTCCTTCATGGGGAGGTCTTGGAACTAGGCTGACCTGCCTGAGGCCCTGCGTAGAGGAGGCCCAGAGGAGGGTGTGGGGGGCCCAAGCCCCAGCCGTGGTGTATGTGGAGGGGGAGGGGCATCGCACCCGCTGCCCAGACAGAGCAACAACATTGGGGTGGGTGGTGGAACCCTGGGGGCTCATAGCTCACCTCACCGTCTGCGCCCACCCCCAGAGTTTCCGAAGGAAGACAGGCGGCTAGTGATAAATCACCAGCTCCTGCCCCCACCCACCCAGGCCAAGCAGGGACGAGGGGCTGGGGTGGGGTGGGGTGCATATCACAGAGACAGAGCCTGAAACAAGAGACAGGCCCAGAGAGGGAGAGATCACAAGACACCCAGGTCAGCTGACACTGGCCAGGTACTTGCTGCTTCCCCCCACACACACACACACAACCCCCAGGTGCTCCATCCACAAAGCCCATCTGGAAGCCAGCTGAAAGCCACCCCTCCCCACCAAGGCTGACCCCAACAGGGAGGGGGAAGTGAGGGGGGAGCGAGTCTTCACAGCCCAAACTCCAATTCCCCTGGGAGGACCATAAATCAGTGGGGGGCACTCGGAAAGCACTCCCCCCAGACAGAGAGGGTCTTCAGGGTCACTGATCCTGATGACTAGGCCTGACCTTGGCTGTGTCCCTCCCTCCTTAAACAACCCTTGGGGTGGGAGGGGGTGGCATCCCCTAGCCCCTGTTTTCCAAACAGTCTGGGGAAGGGAAGTGGCTCACAGCAAAGCTGACTACACTAGATACCCATGCTCACGGTCCTCTCTCCACAGACAGGAAGTGCTTTGCAAGGAGCGCCATGTCCCAATTTGGAGACCCTTTGGGGGCGTGCCTGTCCATGGTCCCTCAGGACTTGACAGTCAGCAGGTTCTCTCCCCACCCCGCCCCTCAGTGAAACCCTCCTGGGGGCCTAGCAGAAATGCCATCTATGCTTCCTTCCACCTTGCCTTCCTGTCACCTCCCCCCTCTCCTCCAGGGTGCTGAGGACCGGCTGGACAAAGGGTGCTGAGAGATGAGCCAGGTGGCCTCCGGTGTGAGCGGCCCACTCCACACATAGGACAGAAGTGAGGTCAGCGCTCAGAGTGAGCTCAGAGAGTGCTCCTGGGGCCTGTGGGGGTGCTCAGCCCCCCTCCCCTCCCTCATCCCAGACTTCATCCCAGCAGAGTGCCCCTCCAGCCATCTCTTTCCTGAGATCTGCCCTGTCCTGGGCCTACATGGTGAAGTCCATTTGGCCTCAAGAAACATAACTCTGCTGTGGAAAATGTGCTCAGAGACCAGGAGCATCACAGTGGCAAATCCAGGCCTGGCCAAAAAAAATCAAGACATCATATCCACTCTACCCCGCCACCCCACCCCCCAGCCATTCATGGGGCTTGAACTCTGGGACCTACAACTTGAGTCACAACACCACTTCCAGTTTTCTGGTGGTTAATTGGAGATAAGAGTCTCACAGGCTTTCCTGCCAGGGCTGGCTTTGAACCGCAATCCTTGGATC